CGTTAAAATCTGTTGAGAAACATAATGACCCGGAAGGGTTATGATTTCACCAACTTGTGAATGCCATATTTCAACTTGGGCAGAGCCGTCGTAATCACCCGAGGGAGAGTGCAAATAGATAGGGAGATAAGTTTTGATGGGCGTAGAATTGATGTTTCCAAGGTGAAAAACTGCATTATTTTATTAATTTGGTCTAGAGTTTGGATCGTAAGGTTCTCTAATAGGTCCTATATGTAGAGCATAGTAAGTAATCTTGAAGTGAGAGGCCAGAATCTACTCAGCATGAATGCACAAGCTGGTGAAAAACTCTAGGTTAGCAAATGTTCTTTGATAGTACCGAGAGGAGTTAAATAATAAGAATGCTCATATTTGACACAATACATCATTTTATCTTTGTCATCATTCAAATCCTACTCTGATTAACATCTCTTTGCAGAAGGGAAACATCTTTTTATAACATTCAAACGCTCTTTTAAATTTTATTAGTGTTTTAAACTTTGTTAGTTTTTTAATTTTTGTTAGTCTTTTAATCTTTGCTTTTATTTTCTGCTTAAAATTAGTATTAACCTGTTGCAAATATTTCAACAATTTTTCTCCTATCATATTTATATGCAATTTAGATAGGGGTTTTATAAGTCATTATTAAGAATTTATGCTTTCCTTGTCGGATCGATACTGAGGTTTTAAAGAAAAATCCTATATTACTTGAAACAATACGTATACTTGCGTAGTACCCCTAATGTAAAAAATTATTATCTATTTTTAAAATAATTTTATTTATTCACACTAACCGCTAAATATAATTTGGGCCAAGTTTTTTGTAATATTTTAAGTTAAGAAAATCTGCATAGTTGCGAGTTGGGTCAACTGCTTAGAAAGTATGAAGAACCATAAAGCTTCATTTGAAAATAAGACAATTCAACTAAATGATGTTTTTAAGGAAATACAACAAATGAAATACACAATCAAATATCCTCCTCTCCTTCACAACTAAAGATGCTCCACCAAATGCTCCCCTTATTGCAGCTCCTGAAGACTTTCCTATCCTCAACTTAAGAAGAAGAAAAAGGAATAAAAATCTACAGCACACTCAACCTTCTCCTCACTTTACCACTCAATTCTCCCTAAAATGCTCACTTTAAAGATGTCTTTCATCAATCTTAGACCTACCAACATCAAAACATCAACAACCACCATAAGTCCCTGATAAATGCACATTTATAAGCCCTCTTCCTAGCACAAGAAACCACTCCACGATCTCCTAACAACTCCCCACGACAGGTGATCGACATGCTCAAAACTACCTCACGCAGTTCCTGACGCCTAGTCGCCTACGGCGGGCAACTCAATGTTTGTCTCTTGGTTTTCTAAGGAAGTCATGAGCGTCTTGACCTTCAATGGTGTGGCGCCTAATCGTCAATATCAGGGCGCCTTGGTGCCAATGGGTGGTGCCTAGGCACCGACCTCTATGGTTGCATGGCAGAGACCGGTGCCAGCCTACTTTTGCTTCTTTTACTTTAGGTTTCTTCCACATTGCTTCACTTCGAATACTTGTTTTACCTGCAAGAAAAATATAAAAATAACTTTCTTTAAAATGCAACTTCATCCATAAAAATAAGTAAAACTCAAAGGAATTTAAGCATTATTTTCTACACATCACTTACTAGAAAAGAAATAGATAATCTTCTGTTATGCCCTTTCCTGTTGGAATGATTATGGTGTTTATTACATACTATCTTTGATTAATTGATTTTTTTCCTTAAACAACAAACTTCAGTCCACTCTTTCAATGCCTGGTTCTTCTGTGCACTTCTCAAGTTTTGAATCCAAGAGTTTACGTATATTAATTTTAGCATTCAATCATCAATATTCTTCTTAAGAAAATATGTACTTAATTAATCATTATTTGGGTTCATCATAACTTACCAATAATACAATTTTATGTTTGCATTTCCTTTTTGATTGATAACTTATTATGACTTTATAAATGACACAGTCATGAGGATTCATTGATCAAACTCATCTAACCAATGTTTGTCTATTAAAAAATGCTATTTATGATCGGCTTTGTGGTAATGGTTAGTTATTTTCTTTAATCATCTATGCCAATTTGTTTTTTAATTTAGCATTGTTGAGCCTCACTTGTTCAAGACAACATTATATTAATATATATATTCTCAATCTATTTCAACTCTCTTTGATAATTTGTGACATAGGTTGAGTCCTGTATCTTTGTCATGATTCCAATATTAACTGTATCTAATATATGTTCATCTTAGTTAGTTGCATTATGCCATCGGTATCCTCCGCGTGTTGGTAGGGAGGCTTGTAAGCCCATGAAACTGATGTGCTGACATAGAGGCATTTTAACCATTCTCTTAATATCATAGTCGGCGTAATATTGACATACATTAGAATTTGGACATCGAATGATATTTATAACTAAAAAATATTCATTTATATCTAAATTTTAATGCATTTTGTTGGTGCTCGTTGACACAACATTGGACAGAAGTTAACTAATGTCACTTACTTCCATAATGAACCAACAGAAGTTAATGCCAAACTCTCAAAATTTAAGCCTTACTGTTTATCATCACCATTTAATGAACGCTTGTTATCCTATTACACAAAAAAAATCACTAAATAATGTTGCCTGATTTTATAAATCTATCAATCTTCAACGATATATAATCCTTGAAATTCATTTCTACCTAATCCTCAAAACCTGTCAAACACCTAATGCAATATTTATCAAACCATAGTGTCAAATGTTTATAAATCAATATAGTCTAATGTCTGCAATAAATTGTTATTCATCAGTAACAAACTCTTAGCATCCATTGACATTACACCTCTAATGTCCAATAATGCGTTACTCCCAATGCCTATCATCACTGTTCATCACGCTAATCGTCTTCCTCCATCAATGCTTCTCAGCCCATGCATGGCATGAATCATTTTATTAACCAACTTAACATGAAGTCCGAAGCCGACTCACATTCATTGATGCTCTCGATGACCTTCATCACCCTTAATTAATATCATATATCCAGTATCTTTCATACATCATTGATGCCATCATCCCTTACACCCTACATCACACCTCAGGTGAGAATTTCTGGAAATTTGAAATATTTTTGTGTTAAATGCATGAATTATGCTTAGTACAAAATACATAATCTAACTTTGGAGTGATTTGTTCGGTATATTAATTTAATAATTTTTATTAATTGAATATAATCCCAATCCTATATGTCTAAGAATTAATCCTAAATCCTGTGGCATAAAATATGTGAACTTTTAGGTTTGTTCACATAAACCGGTGCCATTCTTTTTGCTTCCTTCATTAAGTTTATGGCACTTAAAATTTCTTTTTTGCAGAAATAATTTTTTGCAACTATATTTACCAGGGCACGAAATTTGTGATAAAGTTGCTGCCAACATTTTCATAACGAAGAAATCTCTAATAAAACGTATTTTTACTATAACAATTCTACCATTATTTTTACGAATTGTATCAACTGCCACAGACGGATCATCAAATTCTAATTACGTGGAAGGTTACTTTTTTCACAAATATGTTGCAAATAATATATATTTTTATTATAATATCAACCTCATAATTTTTCACTCCAGAAATTTCTGGAGTGAAAGAATCTCGTGTGCCTCGCAAGACCTCGACAGGAAGATATGGAAAGTACCACACGATCATGCACATGGAACTTCCCTTCTATCTCAAAAACTTCCACCAGACAATATACATAAATAGCGGATTACAATACTTAAGCGTCTAATAAAAATGATTAAACTGCTTCATTAAACTAATCACTTCACGACTCTTGACCAAACCCTTGATTATCTAAATTAATCCAACTAACGCATAATTATTGATGCAAGGTTATAGACAACACAACCAAAAATACACGAGGTGCCTTCTAATTTGCCTTGTAGCGCCCATGGTTAGTAAAGAAGACAATTAATTTTATGCTTATCTTCGACAGCACGATTAGAACAACATTAATATATAAGCTCTCACCTAAAACTTTCTCACTGTCCTCGCAAGAAGTCACGGATGCTTAATAATCAAACGCTAACCACCCTATTAAATCTTGCCATTTGTATCTTAATTAAATCCGAAAGAACTGCGCAACCAAACGTGAAATAGCAGTGTTTGTCTCACTCTTTGGCTAACAGCGCAAGTCTCTTATATTCTAATGTGGTGCGAGTTCGCAATAAATATACTGTAAAAATTCTTTGCGGTCTTATTAGAAATAAAATGAAGAGTTGTGAGGTGTATAATTTGCGAAATTTTTTTGTGGGACACCTCTATTTCTTATGTATTTTTATTTCTAACAATTTAATTTTATATTACATTCATACAAATCAATTCGTTGATATCATATGAAAGATGCAACTATTTTAACCTTTAATTGTTACATATTATTTAATTTATTCAAATCAAAATGAGCTGCACAAGATCGTCGTCTTTGACTTATTTATAGATCGAGCTCAAAAAATTTTCTTGATTCAACTGCTTTGCTTTGACGAATAAATCGAACATGTTATTTAGCGAGTGGAACATGAATTATTCTGAACAAAAAGTATTTTTCATTGCATTAATTTAACAAAAGACTACAAATAGAGAAAGCTTTATCAGAAATATATTATATCTACTTTTATCTGGAGACAAACAGTGCGTTTAAATGATATTTTAGAGTATAAGATAATTATTTTTAATTTTATATATACAGATAGATAGATATATATATACATTATGGAATAAAAAAAGAGCTACGGTGTTGGAGAGCCAAGGCTGCACGAAGCCTTGGTCAACCAAAGCTACTCAAAATTATTGATGAAGCTTAGCCTAGTTAGATGGCCCTTTGGTGGGTCCGAAAATCATTAAGCACTGATATGAGGACAAGACTCCTTCTCTCTCCTCCTCCACTCTCTCCTGGTCGGGCCCTACTACTTGTTTTTCTTCTATTTATCTCCTGGCCTCCCCCACAATCCCACCCTCCCCTGCTTCTTCAGCCACCGATCTCGAAACCCTTTTCCCTTTTCTTCTTTTCCTCCGCATTTCTAGCTTATCCCTCTCTGCTTCCAAATTTTGTATGGCTGAGCTTCCCTTTTTGTGAATGCTCAGAATAGCTTACGAGGTTAATGATTCCTCAATTTTCTTTTCCAGACTTTGCTTCGTTGCAATCTTGAGCTTCGCTTGCTTGTTTCAGTCTCTCGGTGATTTAAAAAAAAAAGTCATTTTTCTTGTCTCTACAGCTTGTACCCCCGATGGGAAATTATAGGTTCAAACTCTCTGACATGGTGCCAAATGCTTGGTTCTACAAGCTCAGAGACATGAGCAAAGGCATAAAAAGCAAGAGCAAAGGGCAACATCAAAGAAAAAATCAAAATTCATTCCAAACGCAGCAGAACTCCAAGACCCAAACGGAAGCTTTGCTCCCCAGTAGAGCCTCCTACTGTTTCTCAAGCAGAGAAGAAGCAGAGAGGCCCAATGTCTCACCTCTGCACCCCAGGGCCTCAGATACTCTCTTCCCACAAGATTCACCTAGGAAATCAAAGAAGAAAAGCAGAAGAAAACCCCATAGCCCCACCTCTACCCTCATCTCCTCCTCCATATCCTCCTCCATCTCCTCAGGCTGCAGTCGTTCAGCCTGGGAAGAGCAACTCACCCCTCCCCAGGAGGAGGAAGTAGACGCTCTAATTGATGCAATCTGCAGCTACGAGCTTGGCTCTTCTTATTCCAAATTGCCTGAGTTGCAGCTAGAGCTTCCTCCAATTATGACAAAGCCGGCGAAGAAAGAAGCCGAGCAGCCAAAAGTGGAGGAGAAGAAACAGAGCAAGAGCATGGCTCGGAAATCTCCTACAGGAATTCACCGGCTTCGAATGCGCGCAAACTCTCCTAGAGTTGTCGCAACGAAGAAGGTTCAAACCAGCCGTAAAAGCGTCACAAAGCTGGAGAAAGGGATCTCAAAAAGCTTCGCAGTGGTGAAGTCGTCAACAAATCCTCAGAAGGACTTTAGGGACTCCATGGTGGAAATGATTAGCGAGAACAACATAAGGAGTTCCAAGGAATTGGAAGAGCTGCTGGCCTGCTACCTTCTGTTGAATGCCAATGAGTATCATGATGTTATTATTAAGGTGTTTAAGAAAATCTGGTTTGATCTCACTGACATTAGCTCGTAAAATTTTTATAACTAAAGCTACGCTTTTTCTTTCTTCTAATGTTGAATCAATAGTACAAAGATGGTATCCATGTTCATGGCTCTTTTTGTTTCTTCTCATGTGAAAACAGGCTAGCTTCTCATGCTACCTGAACCTTTAATTGAGCGCCTTAACTCTTTGTTTTCTCATTTATGTGAACTTTGGGTCCCTTTCATCGGATTTTCTATTTAATTTTTATGAACATTGTAAAATTTGAGTTCTTTTTTTCTAGAGGAAGCATTAATGGCGCTTCCACCTGCCACAAACTAGAGGAGAACTGCTGCGCATCTGATAATATTTAGGTGTGTAAGGAGCAGCGAGTGAAAGAAGGAAGACGAGCACAAGATGCACAAAATTCTTGCGCGATTTGGAGGATAATTACTTACAGTGGCACGCTTTTCACCATATTAGTTAAAATATGATTATAAAAATATCATCATATGTGGTGCATTAATTACTTGAAAAGTCGATAGCGGAAAGAATACAATATACTGTGGGCCGAAAGCTGACAATGATAGTGATAATTAAATAATTTAAGATTGATTGAAAATCTTGTACCCGAAAATAGATATCACACAGAATTTTTTATGTAAGAAAAAAGAAGTTTATCGACTAATTCAGTTTAAATAATTCCACTTCATAAAATATTATGATTATTATAATAAATCATGAAAGGCCCCTGTGGTGGTGATATTCAAAGAGTTATGAAGTGTCAAAGTTATCATAAGTCAATGAGTGTCAAATAATAATTAGCATCAAACATGAAAAGTCAAGGAATTGAAGCTTGAGATATTTGGAAGAGGGAGTGGATGGTAAGCATTAACACACTTTGATCTTTGACAAGCATCTCAATCAATTGGGCACATTTTGGAATCTAAAAAGAGAAGGTGGTTGGCTTGGTCATTTTGCTGATACGATAGGAGATCAAGTGATTGCTAAGACAAGCACGTACATTGGTGGCTGACAAATTTTAGTCTTCGACCATTAAAATGAATCAAGAAATGGTTGAAAAGTATAATGATCATATAAGTGACTTGGAAATGATTGGAAACACTCTATCAGGTGACTAAAAATGTTATGAGCTTTCATCAATGAAGTGAACCTAAAGATTTCATACTTGACAACTTTGAATTGAAATAATGAAGTACAATCAAGCTACTTGTCTTAATTGGAATGATATTAATCTTGAACTTGACCCCCTTTACAAAGATGAGTGACAAGAAGGATCATTAAACTAATAAATTTACAAATTTGTTCTGAGCAGTGATGACGACCATTTTTAATGACATGAGCTGCATGAGCGGAGAATTATGCATTTATAAGGATTTTATAAGAAAACTAACACTAATCAAAATTAACTTGAGATAGGGAGGTGTTTGTTGATAGAAAGTTTTATCGGTAATCAATTGACAAAAACTCCCACTAACCAATTATGAAAATATGGTAAAAGCATTGGCATATTAGATTTGTTAATCAGGGGCCCAAAAAAAAAGCAACAATAAATGGTACTTTTTCAATTTGATTTCCTAAAACGAAGAATGTGAAATTCTTTTTTTGAAAACACATAAGATTGTATCAAGTTATAACATACTTCCAATCAATGGAGCTTAGATCTATTTGAAATAAAGGTGTTAGTTACAAAACAAGATCACCAATTTGAGATTTGATGTCACGATATGTGGGTCTAAGTGACTTGATTAGAGACCTAATTTAAACAAATAACTTTCAAAATCTAAAAAACTCTTGCCAAAAATTATCTTATTATTGCTAGTTATTAAGTTGTTGACTATTGAATGTTGACAAAGTTTATGTCTCCTTAAAATAGTGTTACGTGTTTTTCAAATTATTCTTCCTATCTTAATAAGAGAGATTTCTTGTCATAAATGAACTCAAATGTAATGTTCTTGATACAATTACTATAGGCACACTGAGAAACAAATTTGGTTGATGATGAGGAATATCTTGGGTGATTAAGCTAGAGTTCATCATATTAGTAGCTCTTGGTCGATTCAGCAAGCTTAAAATAGAACATAGTTGGGTGACTATCTTCAAGCTAATTAATAATTCCTTCAATTTCATCAATTAAGGAAGTAGGGATAGGTTAACGCCTATAAGACGATATTAATTTGTGTTAGCACTAAGCATGCTGCTCCTAGGCTATGTTTTAAATACAATGGGCTTGTGTTAGCATAAAAATTAAACTAAAATTTAAATTTCTTTAACATGTAGATATTTACTGTAAAGCACTTACAATATTGAGTTATAATGAAAAATAAGGCATGCATTAATGGTTATTAGTATTACATGATAATGAGGATCAGAAATTGACCATAATAGCTGTCAACGATTGTCGATAATAGATTATGGCCATTGTTAATATTTTCGCAACGAGCAATGACTATCATATGTTCAAATTGATGTTGGAAACAAAAAATAGTCTAAAGGTGGTCGGATATGATTGTCTCCAAGCTGAAGGAAAAGCTTGATGAGTAGGAAGGCATTGGGCGATGGATATCATATATGTTGATTGATCCTAGATAATAAAATCTAGTGTCAAATAGTGGTTGGATATAATTGTCCTCTTAAAAACTAGCAAGTAAAATTCCTAGGACAATTGGGTTGGATTTCAAAGTATGAACATGCTTTAAATTTATCTTATTTATTGGGTTTATTTCTACCAAAAGTTCTCATCATTTGTCCTAACAACTCTTTTTTATAAATTTCTTGGGGATATTTTGATAATCTCTACAATAATCATTGATCCTTTATAACAGTTTGAATAAATATCTTCTGATTATAGTACATTTTCTTAGATATCTTTGTGTTTTAATGAACTTTAATTTGAGTGATGTTTGATTTTACAGATTCATTTAGTCTAGATGTTCATTTAAACAATCTGAAGATAAAAATTGGAGGAATTTTTATCATTTTAATGGCCATGAAATGTTATTAATTATTCTTTTGAGTGCTTAATTTGGTGAAACTTAAATATTTGTGCTCTTGTTACTCTTATATAAACAACATTGTTTTGATTATTAATTTAATAAAAATAAATATTTGGTTATCTCAAAAAAAATTGTAAAATTTTTAACCTAAAAGTTTGATCTCATTGAACTCTAAAAATTGTGTCAATTTTTGCCGATTTAAATGAATTTTCTAGTACCCTGCCAATATGCCTTAAACTCTCATGCTTACATATAGTCAAAGTTTAAGTTAAAATATTATGTCAAATTAATACCTATTATCAAATCAATAATGACAAAAAAAAATATAATTAAGTATATAAGTTCAGTTAAAATTAGATCTCATTAACATTTTACGATCACAAATTATTGACTTATATTTTCAAAGGATCAATCATGGCTTTTTCTATTTAGTGTTTTACGACACTCTACTCTAAAGGAGTGTTACGTGCTAAAAATATATAAACAATAAAGAAAATTTAAGTTTAAGCTCAATAAAAAAATCTAGCTTATATGTAGGTAGAAGTGATAAGTGATGATAAAATTGTTACATAAAAAACCATAAAACATTATGGGGGCATAACCCAATCTAAATTATTCACTATATATCTTGAAGTTACAATGTTGTACTATTTTCTTAAGCAAAAGAAGATGGAGTTATAGAGTTATAAACACTTATTTAATCTTCTAATGCTAAAACAAAGATTGGCAAGCAATGACTCTAACTGTTATAATGATTAGTCAACAATAGCTAATAATTGGATTACAACAAACACAAGACATTAATTGTGCTATAAAAATCACCAATAGTGTTATTCGACAATTGTTGGAGGTCATTGGTTTCAATTTTACTATAAGAGTTTATATTCTACTCTTAGATTTTTTTCCTCTCTCCTCTCTATTATGTGCAGAATATGTTATCTATGTATAACTTCTGATAGTAATATTTTCATTAATTCAAAAAAAAAAGTTTAAAACACTATATTGGATTGTCCGTGTTGAGTCGTTTGATCATATTTTTTCTTTCACCATTAAACTACCTTAAAGACCTCAGAGTTTTATAATTTTAGGGTTGTTAAATTTCTCTCATCAAGATGAGCTATTCGATTATAAACAATCCAAAATTTAGGACTGGTTAGCTTTTTGATTAATGCTTTGAACATCTAATTTTATTTTAAGTATTTGATTTGGGCTCTTTTGATCTTGGATCAAATCACTTATACTACTGTTTGTTTTCAAATGTAGAAACATTCGATTTTATCATAAATTTGTTAAAAATCATCGTTCGAATGAAATTGAATTTAGTTTAGTTTTTTTTTTAATTGAATATGCTGAGATATGTGTTTCGTTCAACATTTGTAATCAAATTATTTTATTCCATTCATTAGTAGATCAATTTACTATGATATTTTTTTATAACATTATATTGAGAAGCCATGAATGGAGAAAAACCTTATGAAGCACATTTTCTCACCACAAATAAACTTTGTTATAGATACTAGAACAAGAGTTTTTGAAAAAAAAAATACTCATTAAAAAAATATATAGCATTTATTTGTTGAGTTTTGAGGAATTCTCCCTTGATTGTGTTCAAATAACATACTTAAAATTACATTTATTAGCAAGACTTAAATATATATATATACTGTTTGGGATCAATTTAATGTTTATTATTCATTTTCTTTTTATTTTAAGTTGAGATAAGTATATTTGATGGTCCTGATTATTTCATAAAAAATTCAATGCACCTAAATTTTATTTTGAGTATTTTAAATAAAAAATTGATTTAAAAATTAAAAAACAAAAATAGTAAAAAATACACTATTAAAAATGTTTTTAAAAAATTTTAAAAAATAAAAATAAAAATAAAAAAAAAATTTCTAATAAGCCCTAAGTTTGTTATGAACTCTATGCCGGGGCCTAGCATAAGAGTAATTTCGTGTAAAAAGTTAAAATTTAAGAAATATATATAAGAAAATTTTAAGTATTTTTATTTAAAATATTGCTACTAAAAAATTAAAAGGCATAATAAAGCACTAACATTTTTTTTGAATGATT